TATCAATCTATCAATCTATCAATCTATCAATCTATCAATCTATCAATAAATAAATAATTGTTGTTGTTGTTAGTTGCGAAATGGTGTCCAACCCATCGCGACCCCATGGACAATGTTCCTCCAGGCCTTCCTGTCCTCTACCATCTTCTGGAGTCCATTTAAGCTCACACCGACCGCTTCAGTGACTCCATCCAGCCACCTCATTCTCTGCCGTCCCCTTCTTCTTCTATTGCCCTCAATCTTCCCCAGCATTAGGCTCTTCTCCAGGGAGTCCTTCCTTCTCATGAGGTGGCCAAAGTCTTTGAGTTTCATCTTCAGGATCTGGCCTTCTAAAGAGCAGCCAGGGTTTTATTTATTTAAATAAATAAGGATATATAAATCCCTGGTATGCTGATGGTGTCAGCATAAGTGACTGTGAGTGATCTATTATCCCAAACCAAATTTCCTTTAAAATCAGCAAGATAGTTCAGACATCTTTGGCTTACATTGGATCCAAAACAAAGGATGTCTGTCTTTTCTTTTTTTCTTTTAAGAGCATAAGTAGTCATTTTCAGATTTGGGTCTGGAGCTAGACAAATAACTTCCACACTGTTGGAACTGGCAACTCAGACTGCAGAAAATTGATGTGTAATTATTGTTTAAACTGTTTTTCCTAAATTCCTGTCCCTGGAAAGGCTCCACTTCTGTTGTTGTTTTTATGGCAAAAACAGAAAACAAAACTGCTGAGAGTCTGTAAAACCCCTCTTCTGTTTTTGTTTTTAAATCCAACTATTAAAGTGTTGGCTTTTGAAAAACAAATATGCAGTGAGAAATAAAACCAAGGGGGGTTGTTCAGTTTTATGTACATTCCGGGGAAGACAGTAGATTGGATCTGATGTTAACCATGATTCAGTTTGTTTGAAATCATGCCTACAGCAGGAGGAAGCAGCCTTTTTTTGAAATGTTCTACCAAACCTGAAGTCAAAGAGATTGGGTGGGCAGTTCTTCTAAACCAAGGGTCTTCAAACTTGGCAAGTTTAAGACTTGTGGACTTCAACTCCCAGAATTCCTGAGTTAACACGACTGGAGGAGGAATTCTGGGAGTTGAACTCCATAGGTCTTAACGCCGTCAAGTTTGAAGACCCCTGTTCTAAACTACTTCTAGCAGCATGAGAAAGTCTCTAACCATTTCTCAAAGGCGGAAGAAGTTCCATATCTTGGTAGACCAGATTGCAGATGGTCCTTGACTTATGACCACAACGGAGCTTAGAATTTCTATTGCTAAACAAGACAACTGTTAAGTGAATTTTGCCCCATGTTATGACTTGTCTTGCCACAGACGTTAAGTGAATCACTGCAATTGTTAAGTGAGTAACACAGTTATTAAACGAACGTGGCCTCCTCCTTAGCTTTGCTTATGAGGTCACAAAAGGCGGTTCACACGATCGCGGGACACTGCAACCGTCATAAACATGAGTCAGTTGCCAAGTGTTTGAATTTTGATCACATGACCATGGAGATGCTGCAACGGTCATTAGTGTGAAAAACGTCACTTTCTTCAGTGCCGTTGTAACTTCAAATGATCACTAAATGAATGGTTTATAAGTTGAGGACTGTCTGTATTGAAATACCTCTATGTGGGCAGAATTTGAGGAGCGGTGCGGTGGCCTAGAGGTGGAGTTCTCGCCTCACAATCAGGAGGCTGTGAGCTTGATCCTAGGAAGAGGCAGATTTTTCTCTCTCTGGGCACACTGAGAATATATCTACTGAACAAAACTCCGCATTGACAACAGGAAGGGCATCTGGCCATTAAAACACTCTGTTATCTCCATTTAGTTTCCCAGACTCCATCCCGCAAGGGATTATACGGGTCATTAAATGAAAATGATTGAATAAAAGGATGAGAACTCAGGGAGGTTAGAGACCATTAAAGAGATTGATTAATTATAACTATAGTTATAACCTTCAGTAAAACATTCACACATATTTCTTGACACCAGAATCCTATGATTTTACTTAGTTGTGACTCACGTGTCCCACTGATTATGTGGGTCCTCTGATCCATTATTTCATGTTGTATTCCAACACATATACATTACGGTTCTCAAGGCTTCTGTCGAATTTCTGCATTTTGTTTTTTAGTGACCTTGGACAAATGGCAACGTTTGGACAGGACCTCCACTATTCTTGATCCTTCCATTTCTAAATATGATGTCATCCAGATCAGCAGAGATCCTTCCAGTGAGTTTGCTGCCATCCGAGATTTTTGTCTCTCAGGTAAGATGGCCTGTTTTTCAAAATGATGGTCCTTCCTTCCTTCCTTCCTTCCTTCCTTCCTTCCTTCCTTCCTTCCTTCCTTCCTTCCTTCCTTCCTTCCCTCCTTCTTTCAGATTTCAGAAGTGGTTTGACATTGACTTCTTTGCTGGGTTGAGAGAAAGTGACTGGCCCATGGTCACCCAGGTTTCTAAGGTAGAACTAGAACTCCTAGTTTCTAGTTTGGCATCTTTATCACACACCAAACTTTCTCTAAGACTTCTTAAATGCAAGTTGTATTAATTACATTGTGAATTGACTAACTGGAGTTAATATGCCAGTTTTTAAACAAAATGTGGAAGTAGAAGTAGGGTTGAATCAGGACAGACTTAAAGGGAGTTACTGAAATCTTTTTTAATTACTAACTTCTAAGAAAGCCATTTGAAACTGGAGGCTGATAACTGAAGCACATGGCTTATATTTCCCATTAGATGCCTTTTTGAAGTTTATCCCAACTTTAAAGGGGAATAAGCAAAAGAAAACAAAAACAAATCTATTTAGCTATGTCTGGAAGCCCTGTGCAGGAATGAAATAGCTTCTTTCTATCTGATGCAAATTGCTGTCTGGAGGATGGTTCCTGTATGGCAAGAGCAGATATTTAGAACTTCACTTCTAGATTCAGCTTTTCAGGGCTGGTCTTTCAAAGGCACTATTTATGTTTCGAGCTTAACTCAGATATTAACAACCCAAAAGCAGACTCATAATGTGATCCCATTTCCTGCCTTTTGGAGGGTAAGACTTGTAACATTTATAAAACAGATGATATGAAATTTGATTGGAAAAATTCTCCTTCCTCCTCCTCCTCCTCCTCCTCCTCCTCCTCCTCCTCCTCCTCCTCTTCTTCCTAGGTTCACTCAACCAGGTTGTCACAACATAAAGGGAAACTACTTGATTTCTTTAGAAACAGGCTTAACTTCACCATTAAGCAGTGATAATAATTAGTACTAAGAAGCATATCCTGCAGTGATTTTTTTCTCTCTGTTTATATGTGTTCAGATTGCAGCTCCCAGAATTCCTGGTCTCTTTATATCTGGAGTTGCATCAAGTTGGAAAAAAAAAACATCTTACATTATTATATACAAAGCTGTATCATTTGTAATAACTATTCCTTCTTTTCATATGATATTTAGAAAGTTCTAGGATACGGGGTGTGTCCTAGGATAAGGGACATAGTGGCTCAGTGGCTAAGACGCTGAGCTTGTTGATCGAAAGGTCAGCAGTTCAGCGGTTCGAATTCCTAGCACCGTGCAATGGAGTGAGGTTACTTGTCCCAGCTTCTGCCAACCTAGCAGTTCAAAAGCCTGTAAAAAAATGCAAGTAGAAAAATAGGGACCACTTTGGTGGGAAGGGAACAGCGTTCCATATGCCTTTAGCATTTAGTCATGCCAGTCACATGACCACGGAGACGTCTTCGGACAGCGCTGGCTCTTCAGCTTTGTAACAAAGATGAGCACCGCCCCCTAGTGCTGGAAACGACTAGCATGTATGTGCAAGGGGAACCTTTACCGTTAGGATATGGAGTATCCAGAATAACACAACTGAAAGCAACTGCAAAGAAATTGTGGCTTTCATTACTCTATTGGACAGTAGATAGATTCTATTTGTTTCTTTTGGTGAACATTAAACCACCTCTTGAAATGGCCTTCAAAATATCATCACTGTAGCCATCTGAGAATTGGCCTTGTTTGGTCCATTTTGGATTAGGTTCTCCATTTTGATCTCCAAAATGCCAGTTTTCACCTGCTCTTTGTTTTATCGGCCTATGCAATTCACAGTTGGACATTTCTTTCTTCACAGTTTGTTCAAAGGACAGTCTGTGCCTACTGGCCACTCTTGAAATGTTGCCATCGGCAGCACGATGCGTCTTCTACCCAGAAACACAGACTTGTACCCTGAGTCTTCAAGGCCACCGCTGTCGTATTTTGCTCAAGGAGCCGGCTACTTACATCTATCGAAAGCAAGGTGCGTACGTGGCGAAAGATTAAGGAGACTTGATTGGCTAATCTTTGCTTTCTCTGAAACACAAAATCAGGAGAACACAGTGGAAATAAACCAGCATGGCAGTAGATCTTATAGCCATTGAACAATGCCAAGTTTGGTTAAGAAGAGAAGACTAAAAGTGAATACAGTATAAAGCTGCCCCCAATCAAAGGCATAGATGAAAACCACAGGTAAAGGTAGGAACTGCATGCCCTGAAGAGCACAACCAAGCAGATGATGACCTGTCAGGAGTATCTGCACAATGTATGGGCTAGACCCAACCAAGTCCAGATGGGAGATTCCATATAAGATAGCAGAATATAAGAGGGCCAAGACCCTATTGGATTTCCAGGTCCAGACAGGCAGACAGGCAGGCGCTGGCCAAGCAACCAGACGTTGAAAGAATAGACAAGGACCAGAAGACAGCAGTGGGGATAGACGCAGTGGTGGGATTCAATCAGTTTGCACCACTTTGGCCATACTGGTTGTTAAATTGCTGGCTGGCCCCACACCTTCCTTCCCTGCTCCCTCCAGAAATTCCCACATGCCCCATTTTGGCTCCCAGGTAAGTGCAGGGAGGCCTACTAGGCTCAAAATGGGGTGCGGAGAGGTGCGGCGTGCCTCCTCCCTTCCCCCCATGGCCTGTTTTTGCTCCCAGGGGGTGCAGGAACCCAAGTGTTGCCTGTCACACTCCCTAGCCATGCCCACCAGGGCCACGGCCACTCAGTCGGTCATTAGGGCAGAGAACCGGTTGTTAAATTATTTGAATCACACCACTGGATAGATGCAGCAGTGCCGAGTGATAGTCTATGGAGATTCATAGTCATCCAGGTCATGGTTGTCTCAAAAAATGCTTTTTCAAGAGGCAGCTAGACTTTCTGTTTTTTCTTCGAAGATGTTTCACTTCTCATCCGAGAGACTTCTTCACCTCTGACTGGCTGGTGGGGAATGGAAAGTTTTATACTCCTTGCAGACAGCTGGACATTTGCATCCTTTTAGTGAGTAAGGAGAACAAACTCATCAGGACTCGATTCAGCAGTCCATTTGCATTTAAAAGACAAAGGCCAGTCTTTTGGAGCAACCAAGTCCACATTTTGGACAGAGAGGATTGCTGGTTTGAAAGAGGGGTCAAAGAGGCCATCGGTGTCAAAACTGAACAGCCCTATCTCAACAGAAGGGGGAGGGATACGACATCATCTATCTCCAGTCTACAACACAATCCTTTCAACAGTTCCAAGAAGGCTCCTCACCCATGTGCACCACTCAGGTGACCCTGACGACACAAAGAAACCTCCAGGTGGCCTCAATGACTCTTTAAAAGAATGCCAATGACCAGCTGTCTGCCAGGAATATAAATCCTTCCATTGCCCACCATCCAGTCAGAGCTGAAGAAGCTTCTTGGATGAGAAGCGAAATGTCTTCAAAGCAAAAGCAGAAAGTCTAGTTGCCTCCTGAAAAAAAGCACCTTTTTGGGATTGCCAAGTGATAGCTACATCAGGAAGAAGGAGGACGAGAAACTTGAGAAGTACCAGGGCCTAAAGGAGGAAATAGAGAGGTTGTGGAAAGTGAAGGCCAATATAGTCGCAAGGATTATAGCAGCACTTGGGGATGTGATTTCTAAGATCGAGAGTGGCTCCAACAGATGCCAGGAATAACATCGGAGCTCCCTCTGCAGAAGAATGCAGATGGGAACAGCTAAGATACGTGAAGAAGAACCTTCAAACTCCCAGGTCTACGAAGAGAACCCAAGATTGAGGAAGACACATGCAGTATAACCCATTAGAGCAGAGGTGGGCAACTATGGCCCTTTTATGACTTGTGGACTTCAACTCCCAAAATTCCTGAGCTAGCATGGCTTGCTCAGGAATTCTGGGAGTTGAAGTCCATAATTCATAAAAGGGCCATAGTTGCCCACCCCTGCATTAGAGTGATAAAGGAATTTTAAAGAAAAACTGCAGAGTACTTTTGAGAAAAAAAAATATTATATGTAAATTGTTGCACCTACCATGGACAGCAGAGCAACCAACAGAGAAGTGCTGAATTGTAGAAAACCAGACTTTTAGAATCTAAAATCATAAGACCACATCTGATTTACTTTGATGGATGTAATGCATGTAAAGTTATTGGAGAAGTCAACGATGCTAGGAATGGTTAGTGGATCAAGAAGGAAGGCAAGCAAAGAAGGACAAGCTGGCTTGATCCCATGAAAGTCGACGCAAGGATGAACGTCCAACAACTGAAATAAGCTGTGCTTGATAGGGTAGCATGGAGAGCCATTGCTTATAAAGTCACCAAGAGTCAGACACAACTAAGTGATTAAAACAACAACCACTTTTGTGGAAGAGCCTCCGTAATGGTCATTGCATCTCATGGGTTATAAGCAGGTTTGGCCAAGGTGAATTTTAGTCTAACACAGGGGTGTCAAACTCAAGGCCTGGGGGCTGAATCTGGTTCATGGGGTGCTGAGATCTGGCCTGGAAACAAGGAAGAAGCAGCCCTCAGTACCTCTGCCAGTGAAAACGGAGCTTGCGAGGGCCATGTATGACTTTCCCGAGCTCTGTTTTTGCTGGCGGAGGGTTGCAGAAGGCCGTCCTAGCCCAAAATGGAGGTTGGGAGCCCATTTTGCAACCAGAGGGTTGCAGGAGGCAATCATAGCTGAAAACAGAGTTCAGGAGCCTGTTTTCGCTGGCAGAGCGCTCGGGCCAGCACAGGTGCCCCCTGACACAAGTGGCATCATGCTGGCCACTCCCCCTGGCCACGCCCCCCACCCCCGCCCTCCCGAGGTCAAACACAACCCTGATGCAGCCCTCAATGAAATTGAGTTTGACTCCCCTGGTCCAGTGGTGGGATTTAATTTTTTTTACTACCAGTTCTGTGAGCGTGGCTTGGCGGGCGTGGCAGGGGAAGGATACTGCAAAAACTCCAGTCAGAGGTGGTATTCGCCAGTTCTCCAAACTACTCAAAATTTCCGCGACCGGTTCTCCAGAACTGGTCAGAACCTGCTGAATACCACCTCTGCCCTGGTCTAACATATAGTCCCCAGATTGAAACCTGCATTGTTAGGCTTAAAGCTTCTTCTCAAAGAGTTTTTAGAATTAGAATTAGAATTCTTTTATTGGCCAAGTGTGGTTGGATACACAAGGAATTTGTCTTGGTGCAAATGCTCTCAGTGTACAAAAAAGAAAAGATACATTTGTGAAAAGTCAAGAATCATCAGGTACAACACTTAATGATGGTCATAGGGTACAATAAGCAATCAAATCATACTAGGAAACAGTCAATATAAATCGTAAGGATACAAGCGACAAAGTTACAGTCATACAGTCACAAGTGGGAGGGAATGGGTGATAAGGAGTGATAAGAAGATTAACAGTAATAGTAATGCAGACTTAGTAAATAGTTGGACAGTGTTGAGGAAATTATTTGTTTAGCAGAGTGATGGCTTTCGGGAAAAAACTGTTCTTGTGTCTAGTTGTTCTGGTGTGCAGGGCTCTATAGCGTCGTTTTGAGGGAAGGAGTTGAAACAGTTTATGTCCGGGATGTGAGGGGTCTGTAAATATTTTCACAACCTTTTTATACAAGTATACAAGTCCTCGATTGAAGGCAGGTTGGTAATAATTGTTTTTTCTGCGGTCCTAATTATCCTCTGAAGTGTTGGGTTGCAGAACCAAACCAGACAGTTATAGAGGTGCAGATGACAGATTCAATAATTCCTCTGTAGAACTGGATCAGCAGCTCTTTGGGCAGTTTGAACTTTCTGAGTTGGCGCAGAAAGAACATTCTTTTGTTGTTGTTTTTTTATGACGTTTTTGATCTTAGGTGTCCATTTTAGGTCATGTGATATAATAGAACCTAGAAATTTGAAGATCTCTAGTGTTGATACTGTTTTTGTTTTTTTAATCTCTGTGCAGAAGTGATCCTACCCACTGCGGAAAGAAACAATGAGCCTTCAGTATTCATCCCATCCCAAGGGACCATGTTGGGAATCTCTCGAGTAATTCAGGTGGGTTCTGAATGGAAGAGCATTGGACAATTCCTCGGAGTTCCATATGCAGCACCTCCGGTGGGAGAGAATCGGTTCCATCCTCCACAGCCTTTCACCTGGACAGACTTCTGGAATGCAACCACAACCCGGTGAGAAGACCAACAACCGAGACTCACTTTCTTAAATATCACAAAGTGTTTAGGACCACAATTGAGCCCAACTTTTTTGTTGCTAAGTGAGACATTTCTTAAGTGAAATTTGACCTTTCCTGCCACAGTTATTAAGCGAATCGCCGCAGTTGTTAAGTGACACGATCCAAATTTGGGTGCTCAGCAACCAGGATGTATTTATGATAGTTGCAGCATTCCAGGGTCATATGGTAGCCATTTGCAACTTTCTAAGCTGGCTTTTGACAAGCAAAGCCAATGGGGGAAGGCTAGATTTGTTTAATGGCCACCTGATTTACCTAACAACTGCACTGTTTCACTTAAGAACAGGGGTGGGCTTCAAAGATTTTAGCAAAGGGTTCTCTGCCTGGTTGGTGGTGGGTGTGGCCATGGTGGGCGTGGCCTAGTTGGCCTCCTGCACCATGGTGGTGGTGGGTGTTTACCCTTCCCGGTTTCCGGAGGCTTTTATTGAGCTTCCGGGAGGGTGAAAATGGCCTCCCTGGGCTCCAGAGACTCTCCGGAAGCTGAAAACGGGCCCATTTCCGGCCTTCCCAAACTTCCGGGATGCCCGTTTTTTGCCCTCCCTGAGCCTCCGTGTGCACCTGCACTTACCTGCATCCAAAACGGGCTGCGGGGGGACTCCTGGGAGGGGAGGGGTGGTGGTTCTCTAAAATGCACAGAATCTTAGCTAGGGGCTCTCCCGAACCTGGAAATGAGGAGAAACTTTCTGACAGTGAGGACAATCAACCAATGGAACAGAAGTTGCCCTCGGAAGTTGTGGGAGCTTCATCACTTGAGACTTTCAAGAAGACATTGGACTCCCCATCTGTCAGAAATGGTGTAGGGTCTCCTGCTTGGGCAGGGGGGTTGGACTAGATGACCTACAAGGTCCCTTCCAACTCTGATTATCTGTTATCTGTTATCTGAACCCCTGCGAACCCCCAGCAGCCCACCCCTGCTTAAGGGCCTTGGCAAAAAAGAAAGATCATAAACATTGCATGACTCATTTAACAACTGCCTTGCTTAGCAATGGAAATTCTGATTCCAATTGTGGCCATGTTTCAAGAAAGACCTGTAATCTTTATGTGGTCCAATGTGGAAGGAAAGCCTCCATAGATAGTTCCTCCCATGTTGGAGTTTCCATAGAAAGAAAGCGATTGTACTGAATTCTCAAGCTTGACCTTAACTTGTTTACAAAAATGGCAGTAATTTTTTATTTTTATTTTATTTTCCATTTGGTCTTGCCTGGTATGATTGGATGGTTGAGGGAACTCTCATTTTGGGTGACCTAATTTCTTGGGCACCTGACTTGTGTGGGTTGTGTGAACTCAGCCAGATTGTGCTGACAGTTTACCACAAGAGAGGCCCTATCTTGCTCATCCAGGTGCGCAGTTAAGACCCACAACAGTGGTGTATGTTGTCTTGAGCCACATTGTCATTCTTTATTGCATTCCTTTACTTCAGGAAAAAAAAAGCATCCATCGTTAGGGTCTTTAGAAGTGAGATGTGAACTGACAGGTGTCTTTTTTGTTGTAATGGTGCAGGCATTTCAAGAAATCAGCCCTCGATTAGATATAAATTTATAAGCATTCATTCTTGCTGAAAAGCTACTTGAAACTGTTAATTCTGGATTCCTGCAAGAAATCAAATTTTAAAAAGATACCGAAAGACCTTCTTGTAATATTGCTGTAATCTTGCACTCCTGAATTCTTTGTTATGTATTTACTGATTAATAATGCTTTCCCTGTTTAATTGTATAGTGCTTTGTTAATAAGGCTTCAGTCTGTGGACTTACGATTTAAAGTAAATGTATTAAGTCCAGGGTGGGATTCTACTGGTTCGGCCTGGTTCGTGAGAACTGGTACCTCCGAGGATCAGCTATGAGCGAACTGGTTCGCTCCGACGATCAGCTGTTGGGCCCACTCGCCCGCCCTGGCTCTTGATTTATATCCTGGTTTTCAAGCTCATCTGATTCGCGTGGCACAGCACACCAACTGTTTAACACAGAGAGATTGCTGGAGAAAGTCAGTAGCAAATGCTCTGCGCGCATGTGAAGTGTGCACTCATTGATCCGGTTGAATCGCACCCTTGTATTAAGTACAGGATAAGAAAATAATTTGAGAGTTGCAAACAATAGAGTCCACAGACAGAAGCATTATTGTTATTTACATCAGCGGCCCCCAACCTTTTTTGTACCACGGACCAGTACAAAATGTACAAAATGATCCATGGACCAGTACCGGCATCAGCACGCACGACCAAGGCAAGGCGAGCCGAGCGACCGGCCAGCCAGCCGTCCCCCACTTCTCCCCGCCACCTTCAACTCCTCCTTTGTACCTTCTCGCGGTCGATGGGCTTTTCGGGCTCTTTCTTAATCTCCTCCTGAGTAACGCGAGACTCTACCGCCATCGGGACGGCTCTTTGTTCGAAGCCGTCCCCCCCCTCAACGAAACTAAGGCGCGAGGATTCCTTCAGCACCCAAACGCCGCTTTCCAAACGACGACCGACAAGCTCACCCGGAAGCACTTTCTCAAGTGCCGTCGAAACAAGATGGCGGCGCCCGAGCAAAATAGGCGGCCCAGTACAAAATGATCCACGGTCCGGGGCCCGGTGGTTGGGGACCCCTGATTTACATAGTATGATAAAGAGTAGCAGCAAAGGGAAAAAAATCTCTTTTTCATGATATTTAGAAATTAAGCTTCAATGTAAGAGAAGGAAGGAAGATGGGGATGAAGATAAACAGATAACGCATGTAATTGTTATCTTTTTTTTTAAACTTTACTGAAAGCTAAAACATTCTAGACTAATCTAGACTCATCTGAGGTATTTAAAACATTAGTTATGTAGAGTTGCTGTGTTCCAGCCTGGGGTTTGGGACCAAAGATTTCAAATATTTGAAGAGTTGTCTAGAATTTATCCATCTACACAAAATCTCTACATGTCCCCACAATTACAGTACTGCAATGAAAGTCCAGAAATGCTGTCTACGTGGCTATGGGTTTGGTTCTGTTTGTGTGACAGTTTTGGCATGTTCTGAAATCTAGAAAACGCAGCTTACCATATACCTATTTGGATGCATGGTTAAAATTGGCAAATCAAATAAATAAAAAAAATAAATAAATAAAAAGAATTGAAATTCAACTCTCTCTGATTGGCATACTTCCCAAAGGAGTGGATGTTTGTTCCCAGAATTCTCAGCATTACTACAATGGCTAGGGAATTCTGGGAATTGAAGTCATGCATTTGGAAGGTAGTCAGACTGGGGGAGGTTGCTCTAGTTCAGTGTTTCTCAACCTTAGCAACTTTAAGATGTGTAGACTTCAACTCCCAGAATTCCCCAGGCAGCAAGGCTACCTGGGGAATTCTGGGAGTTGAAGTCTATACTCCTTAAAGTTGTTCTACATGATACATCTTAAAGTCATTCTAAATGTAAAACTTATCTTGCATGACATCCACAACCTTGTTCCTTTGTTCTGTTCTGACCCAAACCTTGTTCCAAGGAAACAAACATGAAACATGAAACAGCAAACCTTTTAATGATTCTTTATGAATTTCGTTCCTTCATGGTTAAAAGGCTGTTCCAAACTAATTGTCTCTGATAAAAAAAAGCCTTTCCAAGGTTGTGCAAGGCTGCCAAGAACACTAGATAAAGTTGCCAAGAAATATTTCAAACACAAAGAGTCTCCAAACACAAACTAAGAGAGTCCGAATGTCCACAAGGCTTGAATGTAAAAACTTATTTGCTTCCTGCAAAGAACTCCGGTTTCTCAGCTGGCTTTTATCTCTTAAGGGAGGGAGCATTACCTTGCAGCCTGACTCCCGAGTTGCCCGTGCTGCTACAGCTGCTCTTTCCTTCGAGCAGCCCTGCGCGCACGCGCACTAGGCACAGGCTCCTCGGGGACCACTTCGTCACTGCTGCCAGCCTCCACAATCTCTGAAGGCAGCATTCCACTCCCTGATAGTCCTGGCCCCATCCCTGCATCGCACGCAGGCCCCTCATCCGAGTCCTCGCTCTCTGAGACCTTAGCCATCTGCACCTGCTGCCAGCGAACCACAACAGTTTCCTTGTGATCACTAGAACTTTAAACAAATCATAAAGTACTTTAATGAATGAAAAACTGCTGGTGGCCTTCTACCACTGCACCATAGAGAATATTTTAACTTACTGCACCTCTGTATGATTTGCCAATTGCACAGTGGCAGATAGGAAAACACTCCAGAGGGTTAACGTCATTGCCCTGAAGATCATTGGTTGCTCTCTCCCCTCTTTGGAAGAGCTTTATAGCTCCCGCTGCCTTAAGAAAGTTCAAAACATTCTCAAAGATCCATCTCATCCTGGGCACCCCCTTTTTTTGAACTATTATCATCTGGCAGACAGTACAGAATAATAAAAACAAGGACAAATAGGCTGAAAAAGAGCTTCTATCCCAGGGCAGTAGCTCTTTTGAATTCTGCTGTATAATGCAGTGTTGGTGTGGTGTCGGGGGTTTTCGGTTCAATGTGTGACGGGTGAAGGATGTGTGTTTGTGTTTATTTTCATGGTCATGATGTGCACGGAAGATGGTGTTTGATTTCGTTGTACGAGGTGTAATGATAATAAAGTAAACTTAAACTTTATTGTATCTTTAGAGCTAACTGTTGGCAACCAGGAGATGATAGCCTTTCTTCAGTCAGTGAAGATTGCTTGTTTTTGAACATCTTTGTCCCACAGAACAATGTAAGTACTGGATTAACGCACCACCTTAGTCTTCTCTGACCATTCCCTTATTCCAGGAATCTACTCTGAGGAAAGAAGCATGAGATGAGGTTGCTAAACCCATTGACAATGGGGTCTTTTTGGATCTATGCTTAGATATGCATGGAATGTCACAGTCATTTTTAGACAAAGTAAGTTTTGGGGCGAGCAGTTGATGAAATTAGTAGCCTTGACCATTAGGGATTTTGATTGTGCAGAAGTCCATGTGTCACATTATGAAGCTCTTTTACACTGGTTAATATCTTGGAGACAGGGGTGTCCCACACAGAGTGGTCAAAATGTCAAGATGGCCCCTACAATGGTATGATCAAAGTCCCCCTTGCACATAAATAATAACATAATAATAACCTAACATAAATAATATTAGGTTGGGAGACCATTAGAAAAACACAGAGGTGTAAATTACACTGGGAGGTTAAAAGATGCTACATGTAAAGGATCAGGGACACAGTTAAGTTGCAGTTCCGAGTTGTATTACTCAACGCTGTACACAAGAACCTAGTCAACTAAAGATCAAAACTAAATTGGTGCCAGATAAGGTTCAACAGAATGAAAATATATCACGAGATGAAGAAATAGTCAAGAAGAGACTAGATTGTGCAGATAAGGATAGATTGACATTGAAAATTAAGCAGAAAGAGGATGTAGAACATTATCAAACATGGAATTTATTTTACCAATGGTTGAGAAAAAGGAGATTAAGAATATAAATGGTATTGTTAAGCAAATTAAGTACCCAGACAACACAATGTTTATAAAGCATTAAGAAATGTATTTAATAGAAAATCAATTTTAAAAAAAAGAATTCAGGAGGAGTTGGACTAGGACGTTTGTGGCAACGTAATGACTCTAGGCTGATAATGCATTTAACTTTGCCTCCCCCAGCTCTGCCTTCTCTTCTCCTATAACCAATGAAAGAAGGCAACCATACATGACTTGTGTATCACTCGCTCCGTACCCATGCTTCACTACGAAACTATGTGATTGGACTTAGTTTTTGGGGAGGAAAATAAAGAAAAAAAATTGTGCCTCTGCCGACCAGCATCCATTGGTATTCATCTGGCTAGCGTCCTGTCAGTGTGTGAGACAGTTGAGGGCTGTTTGGAAACTGAAACATGGAAACTGAAATAGTATTTGCTGTGTGAGCAAGAAGGAGACAGCAAGGAGCCTGGGCATAGCTTAGCTCAATTGTTCTGTACTAAAGTTGGTTGCTGCTGTGAAATTAAAACTGAAACTGAAACTCCTCTCCTCTGCTTGTGTTTTGCATTTGGAACAGATTTCTTTTCAGGTGGGGAGGGAGAGTAGAACTCCTTAGCATCAGAGCGTGTTAATAATAGTATACGAAATACTAATGCTCTGATGGTCATTTTGAAAAACCCTTTCTTAGTGAGCACCTAGAAGCCAAGAGGAACATACCTGCCAAATTTCAAGCTTGTAGGCTTTACAGTTGTGGAGATTTTGTGATGTTGCATGAGTGGTATTTCGCTCTTTATATATCTATATAGATTATTACAAAGCTGTTCTGAGAATTTGGGAGTGGAAAGAATACCAGGAAGTGAGAGGGTGATGAAGTGGCTTCAGACACATGGATTTCATGTCCCTCAAACTCCAAACACTTTAAACTTCACTTCAGCTGAATGGAAGCTGATACAGGGATAATGTACCCATCTGCATCTTTCCCCAGCATTATATGATTGCCCTATGTCAGGTATCTCAGGAAAAGATACAGTATTGTTTGGTGTAAGAAGCCACAGGCAGGTGCTACATTCATGCCTCGGTTCTCTCTGCCGCCCTTTGATGCTTTCAAACAGCTCTCAAGGCCCTGCTCAGTTTTTCTGCTTTTCCTGTTGTTCATAATCAGGCATTCAAGGGCTTTACTTCTGAACACTGAAGTGGTTGTGGAGAAACGAAAGAGGAAGATGTTAACAGTCTGTTGTGTTTTTTCTCCAATTTAACTAGATGAAGAGGTTTTGGAGAGAACTATTGTTTTGAAACGATAAGAGGAGGAGAACTGTGTTAGTCTAGGCAAATAGAGCTCTGGTAACACCTTCAGAATTACCAGGGTGCAGTTATGTGACTTCAAATGGAAATTCTTTATCTGTGGAGACAACCAGGATATGTTTAAATTTCACACAAATGCAAGCCCTTGGCCACGAATTAGTGTGTTTCCTAGCAGATTGGTCTCACACCAAATTTTTACATCTTTTTCTAGTAACCCCTTGAGAATTCAGGGAAGTGTCTGGACCAGCAATCTTTTCATTCACCATGCAGTGCTGAATGCGATGATCTGGGTGGAAAGAGGAAAGTGAGAACAAGATGACAATATAACCAAAAAGATTCTGGAATGTGCAGAAATAGATAGGTTAAGTCTAAAAATTAAAGAAAAAGAAGATTCGGAATATTTTATAACAAGGGAACTTTTCTACAAATGGCTAGTTGATAGAAACAGAGGTTAAATGAGTGGATTTATGTGAAATATGGACTACATGAGAAAGAAAAACTGATACAATATGGGGGTGATACAATATGATACAATATGGGGGTGTAAATATTCTGATGGTTATACAATCGATATCAATATGGAAGATAGTATACTTTCTGATAAGGATTGATATTATCTTATATATGTTTGTATGCACATGATTATGATGATGTTTATATTTTAACATTTTGGATACCTAGAAAACACATTGTTCAATATAGAAATGGAATTTGTGATACAAAGTAATAAAAATATTTATAAACATAAAAAAGGAAGAGAACAAGAGAGACAGAGAGACAGAGAGAGAGAGAGAGACAGACAGACAGAGGCAGAGAGAAAGGGAGGGAGGGAGGAAGGAAGGAAGGAAGGAAGGAAGGAAGGAAGGAAGGAAGGAAGGAAGGAAAGAAAGAAAGAAGGAAGGAAGGGAGAATTCCATGATCTTGTATAAGACTTTTTGCAAGATTTCAGCATTCTCTACTGAAATGATACAATATGGGGGTGTCAATGATTTGAGGTGAAAGATCTCAATGAGTGTGGAGGTTCAAGATTGTCCTAGAAGTTTCACTCTTCCAAATTATCATTATGACTCATGAATTATAAAATATATTAGATCACATTAGAAAACTAGGAACCTCTGCTATTTTCAGTTAAAATTAGAACTCCCCCACAGTAGATATTTTTGGCCCAGGTCAACTTTGGCTGCATTGAGGATGACAAGTTAGCAATGCTAAGAGAAGGGCAACATTAGGGAATATTATTTATGGCTGACCTTAGTTCTCAATTGACAGCTTCTTTAATGGCTTTAATTGTTAATTAATGTTAATGTTTAATTGTTTTACTCTGAGCTGCCTATGGATTGTTTTAAACTGCTTTTTATCTAGTATGTTTTATTCTAGTATGTTTTTTTTATCTAGAATGTTTTAACCTGCTTTTTATCAATTTGTGTTTGTGGCAGCTTAGAGTGTGTAGGAGACAGCAGCAGCTGTAATATATTTCTATTAGCAACAATAACAACAAAATCTATCATTTATTGTGACAGGGAGGGAATCTACCAGTGCTGGTTTTCTTCCACAACAGCATAAATTCTGATGACCAAGGCAAAAAAGCATCCCTTGATGGTTCTTACTTAGCTGGAGTTGGAAATCTCATCGTCATAACTGCAAATTACCGTGTTGGAGTTTTTGGCTTTTTTAGCAGTGGTAAGTTGTATCTCAGTTTGAAAATAGGACTTTTTTGTTTTTAATGACGAAACCAGAATCATTCCAGCTGGGTCTTATGGAAATGGAATTAGGAAAGAAATACGGAATTTAATACTGTATTGGAAATGGCAATGAGGTTATTGTTTGCATAACATTGGAAAGGCAACGACAAAGCTCCAGAGGAAGATTGGATTAAAAAGTTAATTGAGTTCACAGAAATAGGGAAACCGACCAGCTTAGTTAAAAACTGACTAATAACTTTTCGATAGATTAGAAACCTTATATGGACTTTTTTTTTTAAAAGAAGCAAATATCAGATTGATGATTTAGTGATATGTTCTCTCTCCCTAACTTTGTCTTTGTGGGAACTAAGGAAGGCTTAGTCTGACAGGTTTTTTTCAAGTTACTTCCTTGGACTGGACTCAAGGCCCTTTTATCTAACTACAAATAAGCCTTGGCTTACGACCACAATTGAGTCCAACATTTCTGTTGCTAAGTGAGACAGTCGTTAAGTGAGTTTTGCCCCATTTCACGGCCTTTCTTGCCACAATCGGCAGTTAAGTGGTTGGTTCTTGAGAATCTGGCTTCCCCACTGACATTGGTAGTCGGAAGGTCGCAAAAGCTGATCACATGACCTCAGGACACCGCAACAATAAATACATGCCAGTTGCCAAGCGGCCGAATTATGATCATGTGACCATGAAGATGCTGCAACAATTATAAGTGGGGAAAATGGTCATGTCACTTTTTTTTTGTAAGTTGAGGACTACTTATATTGGCTTGGTAGTGGCTCTTCTTCCTGTTATTCTAGGCCCAGTACTCTTCAATATCTTCATAATTTGTTACGTTCATCTAAGGGGATAGAAGGGGAACGTACCAAATTTATGGATGATACTAAACTGGAATAGCCAACACTCTAGATCAAGGGTCTTCAAACTTGGCAAGTTTAAGACTTGTGGACTTCAGCTCCCAGAATTCCTGAGCTAACATGACTGGAGGAGGAATTCTGGGAGTTGAAGTCCACAAAGCTGTCAAGTTTGAAGACCCCTGCCCTAGATGATAGGCTCAAGATCCATGAAAGTGTTTAAGCCACTTTCCTTTTCTCTGGTGTGCTGAGGTGGACAGATTAACCTTAAAAATAAAAGAAAAAGAAGACTCAGAATATTACTTGGTGTGGAATAAATTCTATGACTGGTTAAAGACAAGGGGTAGAAGTTAGAGAAAGAAAACAATGAATGTTTTTATTAAAAACAGAGGTGGTGTATAACTACAATATTGTATGATATTATAAGTATTCTTATTAGAAGATGGGACAATATTTCTATAGTACTAGCTATGGTTCTTATTCTTTGTAAATAACAGTCTCGGACAAAACACTGTATTCAAAAATGTTTATGTATAAAAATATTATTATTTTTTAAAAAAAGATCCAGATGGATCTTGACAGACTAGAACACTGGACCGTATCTAACAAAATGAAATTCAATGTAGAGAAAAGTAAAGTCCTACACTTAGGCAAAAAAAATCAAAAGTATACATATAGACTGGGTGAAACCAGGCTCAATAGCAGTAACTGTGAGAGGGATCTTGGAGTCTTAGTGGACAACCAGCTAAATATGAGCCAGCAGTTTGCGGTGATAGCCAAAAAAGCCAATGCAATCCTAAATTGCATTAACAGAGGGATACAATTAAGATCAAGTGAGGTACTAATACCTCTCTATAAAGCCTTAGTAAGACCACACCTAGAATAGTGCATCCAGTTTTACACTATAAAAAAGATGTTGAAATTCTAAAAAGAGTGCAGAGAAGAGCAACCAAGATGATTAGGGGACTGGAGGCTAAAACATACGATGAACGGTTGCGGGAACTGGGCATGGCTATTTTAGTGAAGAGAAGGACCAGGGGAGACATGATATCAGTCTTCCAATATTTGAGGGGCTGCCACAGAGAGGAAGGGGTCAAGCTATTATCCAAGGCACTCGGAGGCCAGACAAGGAATAATGGATGGAAACTGATCAAGGAGAGATTCAACCTGGAAATAAAAAGAAATTTTCTGACAGTGAGAACAATCAATCAATGGAACAGAAGTTGCCTTTGGAAGTTGTGGGAGCTTCATCACTGGAAGCTTTCAAGAGGAGATTGGACTGCCATTTGTCAGAAATGGTGTAGGGTATCCTGCTTGGGCTGGGGGGTTGGACTTTGATAATCTGTTAATCTGTTATCCCTTCATGGTGTCACCCCAATTGCTGAGCTCTTGACAAATACTCCCATCTTGTTGGCTCCCAACTCGGACCCCCTTATCAGAAAAGCAGTATTTTTTTTCAAAGAAAAAAGATGCTAAATCACTTCTGTATTCTCACAAGTCTTTCCACTAGTCTCAGTCAGTGGAAAAAAAAATGTTACAGCAACGTACTGTGCTTCCGTTCTTTTATTGGTTTTTTTTCAATTCTTTTTCTTCCCTGCTGAGTTCAGCACATGGGCTCATTTTATAGAATGCCCTACATTTTGTTCAGAGTTGTTTCAAAACTTCAGTTCAGTGGTAAACCCAGATCTTAATCTCTGTGAATTTGATAGTCGAGGATACATCCACTTACTCAGATGATTACTTTTTTTAGTCTTCCTTTTGAGACTTTCACAGGAATTTCTTATCAATTCTTCTTTCTCAACCACACTTTTTTGTTAAAGGACATGTGCCAATAGGTTTAATAAGTTTAATATAAGAATAATGTAAGGAGAAACAGAATGACAGCAGATTAATGGAGTTGGAAGGGAGCTTGGAGGTCTTCAACCTGCTGCTCAGGCAGGAGACCCTATTACCATTTCAGACAAATTGTTTCTGCAACCCAACAAGACAGACACAGACTTCAGAGAGTAATTAGGACTGCAGAAAAAACAATTGCTACCAACCTGTCTTCCATTGAGGACCTGTGTAAGGCACGAATCAAAAAGAGGACTATGAAAATATCTACAGACCCCTCACATCCCGGACATAAACTGCTTCAACTCCTACCCTCAAAATGATGCTATAGAGCACTGCACACCAGAACAACTAGACACAAGGACAGTTTTTCCCCAAACGCCATCACTCTGCTAAACAAATAATTCCCTCAATCCTCTCAAACTATTTACTACATTACTATTACTATTAATTCTCCCATCCTTCCTTTCACCCATCCCCTCCCACTTGCGACTGTATGACTGTAACTTTGTCGGTTGTATCCTAACGATTTTTATTGACTGTTTCCTAGTATAATTTGATTGCTTATTGGACCCTATGACTATTATTAAGTGTTGTACCTTATGACTCTTGACTCTTGACGAATGTATCTTTTCTTTTATGTACACTGAGAGCATTTGCACCAAAGACAAATTCCTTGTGTGTCTAATCACACTTGGCCAATCAAGAATTCATTCTATCTATCATCTGTCTGTCTGTCTGTCTGTCTGTCTGTCTGTCTGTCTGTCTGTCTATCTATCTATCTATCTATCTATCTATCTATCTATCTATCTATCTATCTAATCTATCTATCTTTTTCAACTAATTGTCCTCCTGGAAAGTCTTGATCTTCTAAGAGACATTCTTTCTTTCCAGATATTTGAAATGCTATATGTTGTTTTGATCCCTTGTGCCAACCCTTTGTCTCTCCCTTTGTTTATTTATTTGTGTAGGTTCCAGTGCTGCAAGTGGAAATTGGGGGCTTTTGGATCAAGACATAGCTCTACAATGGATAAGGAGGAACATTGCAAGGTTTGGGGGAGATGCAGGACAGATAACAATTGGAGCACCTGACAGGGGAGCGGATATTATCAGCATTCACCTTCTTAAGAGAGCTTCGAATCCAATCCTCTTCAAGAGGGCACTACTGATGGTAAGCCCTATTTATTTTCAGATGAGTAAGGTGTTAGAAATTCTGTTTATATGTAGCACCACAGAGCAAACAAAGAGCACAGTCACCATGTGCTTTACTGCCCAACTATTTGACTTTAACAGGAAACTCTACTTAGAACCAAAGAGCACAGAGTATACCATAGATCCAAACTTGTAAACACTGCATCCACTGGCTGAATACTATGTAGTTGTTGCATAAACATACATTCCAACAATGATTTCCAACATAAGGACAGGAACCGAAGCTCAAAAACTTTGGCCACCTAATGAGAAAAAAAAATCATTCATTGGAAAAGACCTTGATGTTGGGAAAGACAGCAAAAGGAGAAGGGGACAACAGAGGTTTAGTTGGTTAGATAGTGTCACCGATGCAATGAACATGAATTTGTGCAAACTGTGGGAGACAGTGCAGGACAGGAGGGCCTGGAGTGCTATGGTCCATGGAGTTGCACAGGATTGGCAACTGAACAACAGCCGAGATGTACATAAAAAATAAAATTCCAGGTGAGTGTAAAACAGGTGTTGAATTGTTTAAAATATTTTAATATCACAAGAGATGTATATACATAAAGATACACACATGTGCCATAGTTTTCAGGTCTGTCTGAGGATCACACCTGAATAAAGTCCATATTTTACAAGGGACCACCTCCGCATAAATAAATATAAATATGGGTAGATTTAGGGCATCTGTGAGATTGGAGATGAGATGTTCGTTATCTAGAAATGATGATGATGAGATTTTCAAGAATGCAGCAACATCTACTCAAAGTGCTAATTTGCAACTCCCAAGTTGGGTTTTCTCAGATTCAGTCCTCATGATACAGGAAGTTGGGTTGGGATTGGTGGTTGCTCCAATAGACCAAAGACTGGGTCTTTTTGGCTTTCTTTCTCACAGCAGAAGAATTGTCGTCCATAGTTAGGGCAAGGTAAGAGGCGATGCTGTTTCGGAGACCGTAGCTGAGGCCAGAGTCTTCCAATCCGAGCATGTCTACAATGTCATCATCACATTCCCTGGACCTTGGGAGAAAAGAAAAGCGGCTGTAAAACTTTCATGGTTATAGAAGAGAATATTTGTAGCTCAGGGCTGAACTGTGGGGTCCTTGGCACTCTCTGAGCTCGGTTGTTTCTTGCAGGCGTTTCATTGATTGCTTATTGTACCCTATGACTATTATTAAGCATTGTATCTGACGATTCTTGACTCTTGACGAATGTGTCTTTTCTTTTATGTGCAGTGAGAGCATTTGCCCCAAGACAAATTCCTTGGGTGTCCAATCACACTTGGCCAATAAAGAATTCTATTCTGTTCTGTTCTGTTCTGTTCTGTTCTGTGCCGTGCCGTGCCATGCCATGCCATGCCGTGCCATTTTATTTCATTTTATTTCATTTCATTCCATTCCATTCCACTCCACTCCACTCCACTCCTTCATTCCATTCCATCCCCTTCCATTCCATTCCATTCCACTCCACTCCACTCCACTCCACTCCACTCCATTCCATTCCATTCCATTCCATTCCATTCCATTTCACTCCACTCCACTCCACTCCACTCCACTCCACTCCACTCCACTCCACTCCATTCCATTCCATTCCATTCCATTCCATTCCATTCCATTCCATTCTATTCTATTCTATTCTATTCTATTCTATTCTATTCCATTCCATTCCATTCCATTCTATTCTATTACTCAACGAGGTAATTTCATCAGTGTTAGAAGGAAGTGGGTTTGCTTTCTATTTACATACAAGCAGCTTGCCCTTGTAGATAAACAATGAATAAAACCCCAATCAAAGTGTCAGCTCAGTAAACAACAGCCTACTCAAGGAGTGAACAAGAACACTCCCTCCCAATACAGGGCAAGCCACTTGTATATAAACAGAGAGCAAACCCCATTCCCTTGCAGCACTGATGATGATACCCAGTTGAGTAATGAAACATTTGCAAGAAAATATTCATGCTCAGAGAACACCAAGGACCCCATGCTTTCATGCTGGGTACAAAATAGGAGTATTTCACTAGCAGTTTAGCCATTTTGTATAATGTGTCACTAGATTGGTAGAAAATAATAATAATAGAATGGCAGGTAGCTTTTATACATCTTTGAGTTAAAACAGTTGTCTGCTATTGCTTGTTTCCTCCAAATATACTTCACTTTAATTTACAAATTGTTTCCCTATTTTCTATTCATTGCTTTGGGGTGAGCAATCCTTCTTACTTCCCCATGATCTCAGCTAAATAAATGGATCACAAAAAAGCAAATTCCACCACTTCCCATTGTGGCAGTTTAAAGGATCCTTTGAATGGGAAGCTGTCTATGGCTGTAGGTAGCATAGCCCTCATGTCAGAAGCACCGAAGTGCTCCTAGGTTGAAAGGATTAGCCGGTGACATCACCATTGCTGGAGATGGGGAAGCCCAGCAAGAGCTGGAGCAAAGGACGGGAGCTCAACCCTGCCGTATAGCAACATTTGGGTCTCAAACGCGAGCTTGCTAACCCAGCATCCTAATCATGTGAGCCACCATGCTATGCCTGTAGATAAGGGCACACCCGTGTGATCCCAATCTATCCTGGTTAACAAATTGCAGTGCAATTTGAGATTCTTTTTTTTTTTCTTCCATTCAGTCTCATCTGATTCTTGGAGACTGTCTGGACAAGTTCCTGCAGTTTTCTTGGCCAGGTTTTTCAGAAGAGGTTTTCCATTGCCTCCTTCCTAAGGGCTAAGAAAGAGTGACTGGCTCAAAGACACCTAGCTGGCTTTGTGCTCAGAGTAGGATTAGAGCCCACAGCCTCTTAGTTTCTAGCCTAATGTCTTCAACACAACACCAAACTGGCTATCACAGTTTGTCTCACCCAGCTTATATCCTGACTGGCTCCAAAGGTATTGCGGAAGACAATGTAGTAAGCAAGCTTGCCTTTGTTATACAGGTAGCCCTCAACTTACAAGCGCTTGTTTAGTGACCGTTCGAAGTTACGTCACTGAAAAAAGTGACTTAGGACCATTTTTCATACTTACGCCCCTTGCAGCATGGCCATGGTCACGTGATCAAAATTCAGATGTTTGGCAACCGACTCGTATTTATGACGGTTGCAGTGTTCAGGGATCATAGGATCCCCTTTTGTCATCTTCTGATAAGCGAAATCAATGCGGAAGCCAGATTCTTTTTACAACCGTGTTACTACGTTAACAAGTACGGTGATTCACTTAACAACTATGGCAAGAAAGGTCATAAAATGGGGCAAAAGTCATTTAACAACTGTCCTGCTTTTAGCGACAAAAATTTCGGGCCCAACTGGGATTGTAAGTCAAGAGCTACTTGAACCGAATAATTTATTTCCGTTGCAAAATTGAGAATCTAGGGCTGGTCCTTCGCAGGCTGTTGCTTTACTTTCAGTTTGAGATAGAATATATATCAAGAGCCTTATCTTAAACAAGGAGTACCTTTGCTTATGATTCCAGTTGAAGGTTTTGTTGCGCATCACCACGGGGGGCTCTTGAGTCCTTACTTCGTGGGTAGCGGTGTGTTGAGTGAGGCAAGGAGTTGTGAGGACACAGCACAGGCCATCAGACACCTCTGCAGATTAAAACAAAGGCAAAAATGCATGCAATTGACCTCATTTTAGGCTATTCACAGATACATTGATGTTCCAAATGACTGCACAATCAATATGTATGTATGTATGTATATATGTATATATGTATACACACACACACACACAACACACATAAACTGTTTCAACTCCTACCCTCAAAATGACACTATAGAGCACTGCACACCAGAACAACTAGCTAAACAAATAATTCCCTTAACACTGTCTAACTATTTACAAAGTCTGCATTACTATTACTATTAATCTTCTCATTGCTCCTTGTCACCCATCCCCTCCCACTTGTGACTGTAGGACTGTAACTTTGTCGCTTGTATCCTTACGATTTAGATTGACTGTTTCCTAGTATGATTTGATTGCTTATTGTACCCTATGAGTATCATTAAGTGTTGTACCTTATGATTCTTGACTCTTGATGAATGTATCTTTTCTTTTATGTACACTGAGAGCATTTGCACCAAGACAAATTCCTTGGGTGTCCAATCACACTTGGCCAATAAATAATTCTATTCTATTCTATTCTATTCTATTCTATTCTATTCTATTCTATTCTATTCTATTCTATTCTATTCTATTCTA